GGTCCAGCACTACCTCCCACGCAGTTCCAACGATCTCCACACACAAGCTTTTCCCCAGGCCTGGAAAGACACTCTCCTCTCTGTGGCCTGGAGGACTCCTGCTCATCCTTCCAGGCCTAGCACGGTAGTTCCTCCTCCCCTGCCCCATTTCCCAATCTTCACCCCAAGGGCACGTGGATCCCCTCCCGAGTCCAACTCGCCCCCAGGAGTGGAGCTAACAAGCCAGATGACGCTTCCTGTCGTGTCCCCGCTAGGCTGAGAGCTCCAGGGGCCAGACCCTGGTGCAGTCACCTCCGTGTCCCCAGAGGGGGCGCTCGGCAAACACGTCTGACGTGAAATTCCCATCTCACAGAGAACCCTGAGGCTCCGAGCAGGTGCCCAGGCCCTCACACACTCACCAGGGGCTCACCTGATTGTTGGACAGCGGCGACAGGAAGTGGTGCGTGTGCAGGTTCTTGCCGGTGAGAACATGCGTCAGCCGCACAGCCTGCCCGCAGCGCACCGGGGACCCGCGCGGACACCCGCCTTCCGAGCCGCCGCGGATCCGCCAGTAACTATTGGCGTCGTCGGACGCCTCCACGCCGGTCACCGACTGCTGTCCGCTGCCTGGGGGACGACACCCAACCCCCGAGGTCGCTGTCAACGCGGGTACTCCGACCCTCAGCCCAGACACCATCCGCTTTCCTGGACAACCTCAACCCTGGGACCCAACGGCTCCCCCAGGTCCCGCGGAGCCCTCGCCGGACTCCAAGCCCCTTGGCCTGGCAGCTCCAGGAAGATTTCCCGACGACCCCCTCGAGCTGCCAGCCTGTTCCCCTAGGCCCCCAACTACTACAGCCCCTGATGAACCCCACGCCCAGCCCTTGGCCCGCACACCCCTGACCCCACCCCGCTGTCAGACCCCAGCCCCGGGCCGCCCCTGGGATGCCGCAGCCCCGGCCCGCGCACCGGATCCGTATTTGATGTCGTGCGAGTGCAGCCGCACTCGGTGCTGCGTGTTGAACAGCTTCAGCACCGACCCACAGGTCACGAGCTCCGCGCCGATCTTGGAGGCACAGCTGCCCGGCACCGAGAGCGCCAGCAGCAGTCCCAGCAGCACCGGTCCAGCAGCTCCGCAGCTGCCCGCGCTCCACATCGCCCCGACAGGGCTCCGGCAACTCGGCCCCCGGCCGCTTCCGTCTCCGCCGTGGGCCAATCCGGCTCTGACAGAGCCCGCCGCGGCAGCCAATCGTAGGCCTGCAGGGCGCTCAGCCTGCACTGCCATTGGGTCCTCGTGGAGGGGACCCGCCCCCCAGCTTTCGAGAGTGGCTTCTGGGAGGGGGCTGGAGACACGAGGAGGGTTTTGACTGGTCCACGCTTCCGAGGACTCGCCAATGAATATCAAGCTAAGACTGGGGCGGTGCCCAGCTGAGGGAGAGCGGCTGCGAGCCGCTGCAGGTGAGGGTACTCCTCCCGCGGGCGCCGGGCCCCCTACAGCCGGCTCACCTGGCTCACCTGTTCATGAAGCCCCTTAATCCTAGATCCCCAGGCCCTTAATCATGGTCTTTCCTTCGGACCCTGAGTTCGCAGCTGCACGGTTTTGAGTTTGCTCCACCGCTAGATTATGTGGTCACAAGCGGACGCGTCTCAAACATTCAGTCACCTGGCCCTTCAGTCCCTGGATCCCGGGATTAACTCATCCCTCAGTTACATGGACATTTCCCCCTCTCTGACACTGGGTCACCTCAGCCCCTGGACCTTGGGGTTTCTAGATTCACTGTGCCACTCGCTGACCCCTTCCAGGGCAGAATCTCATGGTCCCTAGGCTCTTGGACAGCAGAGGGCAGCAGGCATCTGTGGTGTAGAGGATAGTGGCGGTGCTCACCAGAAGCCCTCAAGCTATCTTGGAAACCTGGAGCCCTGGGAGACCAAATGACTGTGAACCAAGCCTGGTCACTGGGTGTCCCAGGTTTCTGACTCACTGCCTTCTCAGAGGACTGTCAGCCCAGCTTCACGGGGGGTGGGAAACTTACACCACTATTTATTCATTCGTGGAACATTCATTCCTGGCCCAGGAACTAGCTCTGGGCTACATTACCCAGTTGGCTGACTACCGGTGTGCTTGGGGCACCCACAAAGCAGGGAGAAAAATTCATGTTTAATTAAATCATCCAGAATCTTGAAATCAGAAAATCCAGAGTGAAGCCATTTTAATTATAGCAATGGGTTATTTGGGGGGGGGTGGAGTTGTGTTTATTGTCTTCAGTTTGAATTTCACATGGCAGAAGATGTTTTGATCTTTCCAGCACTTTGAGTGTCTAAAATGCTCATGGTGCGGCCTGGATTTGGTAAATCTTGTGCTTGAGTGGCCTCCAATCCAGGGCAGAGGAGCCAGAGCACAATCTGAATGTGTCCTCTCGGGCACACCAACAAGCATCTCAAACTTAGAATGTTCAAAGCAGAATTCCTAGTCTCCTCCCTCAAACTGCTCCTCTCCCAGGCTTCCAAGTCTCAGCAATGGTGCCTCCAGAAGTTACTCAAGCACAAGACCTGGGATTCATCTTTGATTCTTTAGTACACTCCTCACATCTACCCCAACAGATCTTGATGGCTCTGACTCCAAAACAGATTGTGAGCCATCTTTCCTGTGTCCCCCATCACCACCCTAGTCCAAGCCACACCATCTCCCCTTCAGATGTCTACCAGCATTTCCTCAAAGATTTCCCTGCTTCTGATACTCAGCCCTCCCCACAAGACATTCTCCACACAGGAAAGTGATCTTAAAAAGTACAAATCAAACTATATTCAGTATCTTGCAGTAACCTACCATGAAAAAGAATATGGAAATGAATATTTGTATGTATCTGATTGAAACATAATGCTGTACACAAGAAATTGACACAACACTGTAAACTGACTATATCTCAATTAAAAAAAAAATCAGATCACGCTGGGTGCCAATGGCTTCCCATTGCAAATGGGACCAGAGAATGGGCAGGACATGAATGGTAATCTCTGACAGGCAAAGAAAGGGTTCAAAGTGCAGCAGAGACCCCAGAATTGGAGTCAGGGAAGCCAACATGGCTCTCCCTTGAGGCTCTGGAACCTCATGGCTTCTCTCAGCTGTTCATTATCCTGCCTGCCCCTGCATACCCCATGGACAGATGCTCAGGGCCCTCCACCTGGAGGCCACAGTTCCTCTGCAGGTTCAGATTCTCAAGGGAGGACGTGATGGACTCAAGCTGGTCCCAGGCACTACTCAGGGTGCAGTCTACAGGGGAGGAGGAGTGGTAGCTAGTCTCCAAATATGCTAACATCTAACAATTCCCTCCCACCCCTGTGGGTGTGAGCTGCCCTTCTCATCAAGCTGCGGAGTCCTTTTCCCATTCCCTTGAATCTGGGCAAGAATTACAATTTGCTTGGACCAGAAGAATGCCACAAAAGTGCTGTTTGGGGACATCCAAGCACAGGCTGCCATAGGGGCGGTGGTTCTTTCTTCCTCCCTCTGGAAAGACAATTCCTGCCCATGCTGTACAAATGTGCAGACCAGACAGACCACTGAACGGCCACAGGCAACAGGGAGAGAGTCGCTGGAAGGGGAGAGGCCATGTGGGATGTTCCAGCCTCAGCCTGGCCCCCAGCTGAAAGCAGCAACCCCACCCCATCCCCCACAAACCACTCTGGCTACACCCCTGCCAGTTGAGGCTATCAAACCCCAGCACCATTACAAATGATAATTTTGTTGGAAGCCACTAAAGTCTTGGTTTGCTACACAGTAACAGATGCCTGGAACAGAAGCTAAGGTGAGCTGTCTCTAGCATCACATTCCAAGGATGCCCAAAGGGGCTGCTCCCACCCCAGGGACTGTCGGTCTCTAGACGTGTGCCTCTGAGGTGGGGGCGGGCACAAATGCTCTTCTTCTTCCTTGAGAGTCCAGGCAGCGAAATGCAGAAGCAAGTGGGTATTGGATGTGCCAATCAACTATGGCCAAATGATACGGCAGTGGGGATGAAAGCAGCTTTTTGGTCTTGTGTGGCAGTGGTGGTGGCAGGGGTTGGCCTTGGGGAATGGGTGTGAGGATCAAGTGTGTGTCCTAAAAGATCCTTGCCACAAGAGTTCTGTGGAAAAATGGGAGTCCCTGACTCCCCACCTTAGGACCCCAGCCCCTCTGACAGGCAATGGGGCACGTCCTCCTCCCCAAATTGCAGGGCATGGGTGCAGTGTGGAGGGTCCTCCCCGCCTGGCTCCAGAGGGAGGTCTGCACTTGCTGTGTCCTCCCCTGTGGGCCACTAAGTGTGGTTGGGGTGGCTGAGGAGGTCTGGCCTCTACATACCCAGTGGGCTCCAGGGGCAGGGAGCGAGGGAGAGGTGGAGCTGCTCCCCAGGTGAAGATGCCTGCATGGGAACCAAGAGGCTGCCTGAGGAAGCCAGAAGGGAAGGAGGGCGCTGAGCTGGGGGCCCAGGATGGCCCAAGGCTCCAGGAGAATCTTGAAGATGAGACCTGCCAACCCGGGCACCAGCCATGCCTACAGACCCTTCTTGAGAGAGCTGCCCTGCCCAGGGCCATAGCAGAAAGGGTGTCACGTGGCCAGCCTGGGGCAGTCATTCCAGAGCTTGACCAACCAGACCAGCAGCCCCCACATGACCTGGCGGAGAGCATCGAGATCCAGGAGCTGGCCCCAGGAAATACAAGTCTGGAAGACAGGCCCTGGTGGGAGTATCAGGAGAGCAGAGATGCACCCTGGCAGAGGAGGAGCCTCAGGCAGCGGGAGCCAGTGTGAGGCATGGAGTGGTGAGGGAGGGGGACCATGAGTCCCCAGCAGCTTGAAGAGCCAGAAGAGGCAGATGGAGTGGAGAAGAGCCAAATGATATGGCAGTGGGGACGAAAGCAGCTTTTGTGGTCCTGTGTGGCCATGAGCAGAGCTTGGAGGTCCTGCGCTCAGAGTACCGGCAGCTGCCATGAAGGCCAGCTCCTTGGGGGCAGAGGTGTGGAGGGGAGGCTGGAATCTCTGACAGGACAACTGTGCTCCATCAACACGAGCTTTATTTCTCCCACTGGCTCCCCTGAGAGGCTCAGCAGAACCCCTCATGGGTGCCAGCCCTTCTGACCTCTGCTCTGGGCGGGCCGGCTGGGAAGGCGGTGTCCCGATGGGGCGGGAGGAGCAGGGCATGGAGCGCTTGGCACGGCCCAGGGGCCTCACGGGGGGTCACCGTGGCCTACATCTGCATCTGCCCAGGGGCGGACCTTAACCTCCACTTGAGGTTCTGGGGAGCTGTGGGGCTCACCCTCACCTCCAAAGAAGTAGTCCTCTTCCTCGTCCCTTTTCTCATCCTCCTCCTCATCCTCCACTTTGTACTCGTCCTCCTCCTCCTCAAGGCTCTGGTTGTCCCCCACGTCCACCGTTTGCCAGGACTGACTGGAGGCCACGCTAGTGTTGGAGAACGTGGACAGCTTGGGCTCTGGCGGCCTTGCAGGCTCCTTCTTCCCAGCTGCCATGCTCTCCTGGGGGGTGAGCAGCCTGGGGCTGGGAGACTGTCTGTCGGGGTGGGGCTCCCTGGCCTTCTCTGGGATCCTGGTGGTCTTGGTGGCCGGCTTGGGCAGCGTGGAGGGGGTCCTCGCGCGGTGCCAGTGGGTGCTGTGCTGCGGGGAGGTGTGCCGAGACACCTGCCGTGACGCCTGCTGGCTGCACTCGGCCTCCTCCAGCCTGCGCAGCAGGCAGCTCCAGTCGACCTTGGAGGACAGGTGGATGCGTGAGCCCTTCACCTTCTTGAAGCCCAGGAAGAGGTCCATAAGTGCCTCCGTGACGGGGAAGGAGATGAAGCCCAGCTGCCTGGTGAGGTTCTTCTCAAACTTGTACTTGTAGATGAGCAAGGAGACAGCCTGATCCCTCAGGTAGCTGACCAGCTCCTCCTGCCAGGGGTTGGAGAGGTGGGACCCTGAGGACTCGGACAAGATGGAGGGCAGCAGCTTCTTCTCGGTGAGCTTGTAACTGGGGCTCTGTACAGCAGCCGAGGAGGGAAAGGGAGATATGTTATGCCACTCCTGCCACCTGGGGTGCCCTCCTGCCCAGAGCACCCTCCACATCACCCATGGGGCTCTGCACGTGGGGCACTCAGAGGGTGGCCTGGCCACATCCCTGCTGCATCCCGTGGGGAACTGAGCACAGGTGGTGCCCGTTGGCCCACCCTCACACGTCCCACCCCATGTCATGCAGACAGGACTGGTGACCTCATGACAGCATCAGCCAAATGGGGGCCTGCACAACCTTTGCCCAGGCAGGGGTTCAGAGGAGGTGGCATGCCTGGGCCTTGATGGGTGAAAGCAGGGCCGGGGGCTGTGCTGGGATCCACAGGGTGAGACCACCCACGTCTTCTCTGCACTCTTCCTCCTGAGCTATGCCTTCTGGGCAGGGCTGACACACCAGAGAGCCCTGTCTCTAGCAGTGGAATTAGCAGGAGCTAGACCCGGGACACAGGGCCCTACTCTGGGCTCAGGCTGCTGCCCATGAGGGACAGGAGTCTCTCTGCATGGTAGGGCCTCTGAGATTCATATGCAAATGTTACAAAAATACCCAGAATAAAAAATAGCCTTTATTCATCTTCAACAATGAGTGGGGTAGCCAGGTTTAATTCCAGGTCCCAAGAGCTTGTGCCCCACTCAAGTATTCTCCACAGGCTGGGGCGGCAGACGTGGACCTGGGGCACCTGCCAGTGACAGTGGCTGCTAGGAGCGGTGGCTGTAGAAGCCCTTCCACTGCAAACCCTTCCCTAAGACCCCAGGCCCCACCCTTGAGGAGGTCACCTCTGGGTGCAGTGCAGCAGGAAGTGGAGACACGCTCCTGCCCCTGGAGGTGAGTGGTGAGAACCTGGGGAGGCAGTGGCAGGAGGAAGGGCAGGGGGAGGCACATGGAACCTTGACTATGGGGGTGGTAGGGGTCTGTCTGGAGGGCACCTCCACCATGATCCCAGGGGCGGGAAGGGTGAGGTGCAGGCTTCGCCAGGGCTGGGCCCTCTGATGGGAGCTTGTGGGCCCAGAATGGGGCATGAGTGTTCTCTGGCCAGGCACCTTCTGTCTGGGGTGGGGAGTGGGGACTTGGAGGTCTTCTGAGGGTGTCACCTTTAGCCTGAATCTGGTGGCCATTTGAGTACTAGACACAAGGGAACCAACTTCCTTGGGCTTGCCGCTGTGACTCTTGCACTTGAAGCTCTTCCTGTGGCTTATCTTGGGGCTGGAGGCCGTGGTGGTCAGCGAATCATAGGGCTCCTCCCTGTTGGTGGGTGTGGCCACCTTGGAGGTGGACTCCGTGGCAGGCTCCCATTCTGACGGGAAGAGAGGATAGCCATCACGGAGGCAGGCGCTGCTGAGCTTGTCCACCGCCTGCTTGACCACGTTCTGCAGGGCAGGGAAGAGGTGATGCTTGGCCAGGAAGTCCAGGGTCCGATGGGGCTCGCGACCTACATGGTATCCAGGCAGGTTAAAGGATGCTGGCTGGCTCAGCAAGGACTTGATCTCCTTGTGCAGCTCCCGCTTGAGGAAGAGCAGCTCCCGCTCTCCAGGGCCCAGCTCTGACGCTTTGGGTGTGTCTGAGCTGGAGCCCAGCAGACCTGAGACCCAGGACAGTGGCTGCTCTGGGGTCCACTGGCTGCTGGCCTGGCTGCCCAGCGAGTTCCACAGCAGGGAGTCCCTGTGGGAGCAGGGCTGCCCCAGGCCTTTCTGCAGAGAGAGGGGAACTCTCAGAGGCAGGCAGGGCTGGGGTCCAACCCCACCCCACCCTAGGCTGTGACCCCAGACCTCACCCCTTGGTTCTCCAGCTGCATCAGCCGTCTGAGGTTCTTCTCCAGCAGGAGTTGGTCCTTCATGGGCGGCAGTGGACCCCAGCCGCGGGGGCCCATGTCACTGTTCCGGCGATAGGAGCCTGGCCAGCCGATGGTGAAGCTACTGTGGGAGTTGGATGTGGAGCTAGAGCAGGATGGGTAGTTGTTGGGGCTCCCCATGCAGAGGCTGGGCCGGGTACGGTGCCGGTGCACGGTACTGAGGCTGGGCCGAGCGTGCGCCCGCTGTCCACCCCTCGGCACCTCCACTGGGTCCTGCACCTCCACCAGCGGCACCCCGGCCTCTGTCTTCATGGTGGCCATGAGCTCAGTTGCCTTTTCCACCACTGTCTGCAGGCTGTCCAGGACCTGACCCTCAACGAGGAAATCCAGGAAGCTCCGGAAGGGTCGAGGGCCCCTGAGGTTCTGGCGGTGGCTGTGGAGCCCTGAACTGCCCCAGAGGCTATGCATCGATGGTGGCTGTGGCATGGGGCCCAGCTTGGAGGCTTTCCCCATTTCAGGGAGCAGTGGCTTCTTTGGTGGCTGCATATGAACAGAAAGGCATGTCACCATGGGCAGGGATGCCCGACGGGAGGAGAGGTCCCTGGGGTCCTCCTTGGAACTGGGTGGGGAGTGGGTGCGCAAGGGAAGGAACTGGGTTTGGAGTCAGGCAGCTCTGTGTTGGGACCCTGGCTCTGCCAGCTTGAGGCTGTGTGACTGTGGGCACAGTGGCCCCTCCTGAGGCCCAATTTCCTCTCCTGCAAAGTGGGGATCTGTTCAGGGTCGCCCTGAACCTTCCCTGGCACATACATTTTACATACACGTGACCTGGCCGGAGAGTCTGAAAACACGCTTCTGCCCTTTGTAACAATCCCCAAACCCCTCTAAGCCCTGCCTCCACTGCTGGGCTGCACAGACCACCTGTGGTCCTGAGCCTTGAGCTCCCCAGGGCTGCCTCTGCACCTGGAACCATAGGCCCTGAGTAGACTCTACACTCCCACTCAGGGGTCCCAGTCCACCATGCCCCTCCCAGGCCACTAAAAGGCCCAGGGAGGACATCACAAGGATATGAGAAACGGGGGCTGTGATCTGGGGCGCCAGAACTGGTGGGGAACATGTTGGGGGGCTCAGAGTTGGCAACTGCTGGGCTCACTTACCCGGGCGGCGTAGGTGCTGTGGCCGGCCTCATCGTCGGCCAAATATCCCGAGTGGTAACGGTAGCTGGTCATGGTGCGAGTGGCCTGGCCCGCTGCCCGCCTTTTCTCTCGTCCGTTCCGCGGTGCGTCCACGGATTCCTTTCTGCGCGGGGCGGGGAGATGGCATGAGGGTCCCCCAGGCCTCCATGGGTCTGAGTCTCCGTCCGTCCATTGGCCACTGTGTCAGCGGCCCCGGGGTGCTGTTGTCCCTGGTCCCTGGCTCCCCGTACCCCACGCCCTTCAAGCGTCCAGCTGGTCCTCTGCTTGGAGCACCCTGGGCGTCTGCACACCGTCCACGTCCAGATTCGTAGCGGGTGGGGTCCCCGAGGGCTTCCGCATCCTGTCTCCAACCATCTCTGGGCCTGGTGCGTCCGGACCTCCATCCTCCCGGCCCCTGCGCCCCGGCGTCCGCCCTGGCCCCGGCCGACCCTCTCACCAAATCCGCGCCGCTGGGCTCCGCGGTCTGCGCGTTGATTGCAGGACTGCCACGCAGCTCCGGGCGTCCGCGGGCCTGCTCATTTGCGTGCTACGTCCTGATTGGCTCGCGACGGGCCGCTCGCCCACCGGCTCCCGCGGCACAATGGTTGGGGCGGGACCCAGGTGGCTCCTCCCCCACCTTGCAGGCCTTGCCCCGCCCACATTCGCAGAAGTAGCGCAGCGGCTGCTGCTGACTTGCTCGGTCCCGCCCGGAGGGGAGACTAAGTCACCAAACCCACGGCCTCCCTCGGTGACGCGAGCACCTTCTCTGGTCGCTGAGTTGTCCTGGGTTCCTGCTCGCGGACTGCTCCTTTCCAGGGTCCTCCCCCGCCCAGTGTGGACACCCCAGGGTCTATCCCAAGCGCAGTGGAAGGAGTCTCGCTTCAGTCCCCAGCTCTCCTGTGTGTCTCAATCTCTGATCACCTCCTTGTCCTCTGTCAGTAGAGCTGAGCAACCTTCCACATGAGAATTTGGAGATTAAATCGAATGTTCGTACAACACTCCTTGACCCTGATTAGAGATCGTCTGTCTTTACATCCTCCCCCTCTTGCCCCCTCTGCCCAGGAGATTCTCCTCAAGCAATCCCCTCCCAGGTGTTGCCTCCTCGGAGATGCCTTCCCAGAGAGTCTGTCCCCCCAACAGAATTACAGCAAATCCCATCCCAGACTCTGCCACGCCATGTTACTTATTTGTCTGTCAGATTGCCCTCCTCTGGGGTAGGAACTGTGGCGCTCACCCTTAATCAGTGATCTTTCTATTACCAGTAGGTACTCAATAAATGTGAATTTCCTCCTGCCAATTTGCAGACCCTCAGGGTCTCTGGCCTTTCCAGGACCAGCTTCCCAGTGGAGAATGACAGGTGATTAGTTGAAATCCCATGATTTAATAATCACAACTGAGAATGACAGTCCTTATGCCAAGAATTTGGTGAAGGCCTCTTTGAGACCTCCAATTCCTAGAACGCCCCCACGGTGGAGGGTATTATGTTATTCTCAGGCTTAGCTCTGCCTTCTCTTCCCTCTGATCCAGGGGGCAAGTAGGGCTTAGAGGACCAGAGCAGACAAGATATAGGCCAGAGCGCCAGAGGCCAGTCCCAGCTCTATTGCTCCAGGCAGAATCATGTAGGACAAGAAACTTCCGATCTCTCTGAGCCTCAGTTTCCTCATCTGTAAAACAGGAACAACATTACCCATCTCATAGATTGGACACAAATGCTGCACTTTCCACTGGCAAACTCAAGATAGCCACATCACAATGAAAACCTGGCTGTCAACCATAGTGACTATTTGTAAGTCGTCGGCAAGGAAAGCTTTCCTGGACCACAGAGGAAAAAGCGAGGCCATGAATGTAGCAACTGTAGCCTGGCACAGAGCTCCAGGTGGAAGCAGAGACTTCTCAAACGAAGCCACTGGTGTACACATTTTCTTTCATTTTCTTATTGTTCAGAGATTTTACAAATCAAGAAAAAGCCTCATCTTAGAAAAATCAGCAAAGGCCAAAATAGACAATTTGCAAAAGAAGAAATATAAGTAGCTAATCGAAACATGAAAAAGTTCATCGTTCCTATCAAGAAAACGAAACACTACAAGAATGAGAACACTGGTGTGATCATTATCTTCTCAAAACAACACAAAAAACTTTGGGGTGGGGGAGTAGGAAACGAGTGTGTTTGCTTAGACAAAATACCGGCAGGACGCGACCCAGAAAGTGAACAGAAACCTTTCCCCTCAGGTTTGATTTTCCGTTTTTCATATTAAACATTTTTTGCAGTCCCTGCAAGTTCCGCGCTGCCATAAACCGGGCCGCGGTCCGGGTAGGGCGGGGCACTCCGGGTGGCTGGAGGTTGCAGGGTCCTCCGGAACCAGCAGGCGGCGAAAACAAAGGCTGAGTGCCGG